CCTGCCACTGTCCCCTCCGCCGACGCCGCCGCTGTCGCCGTCGGGGTCCGCCCGGGCGGCCCGCAGAGCGCGCGCGAGCGCCGGCGACGACTGTCCGCTCGGGCCCGGGCGCTGCTGCCGGCTGCACACGGTGCGCGCGTCGCTGGACGACCTGGGCTGGGGCGACTGGGTGCTGTCGCCGCGCGAGCTGCAGGTGACCGTGTGCGCGGGCGCGTGCCCCAGGCGGTTCCGCGCGGCCAACGCGCACGCGCAGGTCAGGGCGCGTCTCCACGGCCGCAAGGCGGAGGTGCCCGCCCCGTGCTGCGTGCCCTCCGGCTACAGCCCCGTGGTGGTCCTGCAGAAGACGGGCGCCGGCGGCGTGGCCCTGCAGACCTACGACGACCTCCTGGCCAGGGAGTGCCACTGCGTCTGAGCGGCCTCAGTCTGCCCCGCCTGCAGAATGGGCCCGCGCGCCCGCTGCCCGTGCGTGCGCCCTGCCCGCGCCGCCGTGTTTATACGTCTGTATTTATTCTTAACTTATTGGGGTCGGCCTGCCCTGGGGGGAGGGAGGGCAGGAGGGTGGGTCGGGGGTACGAGTCTTTATTTAAAACTTGTAATAAAAACGAAGGTGTCTGGATCCCGCCTTGTGGTGTCCGGGTCGGGCTGGGTGGCCTTGGGAAGACCCCTCGCTCGCTGGCCTCAGTTTCCCCAGGGAACCTGGCATAGGGGTCCGAGGAGAGGTTCAGGGAATGGGTGGCGGGGGGGTGAGGTGTGCTTGGGGACACCAGGCGATCCGAAGGCACTGGGGACGCCTTGGGCTCAGCGCACAGCCGACGCCAGCTCTGATTTTCTCGGTCTATGTGCTTGTTTGTTTTTGGTGTTTTCTTCCTTTTCTTTTGTCCTTTGCTATTTTTTTTTTTTTTGAGACAGAGTCTCTCTCTGTTGCCCAGGCTAGAGTGAGTGTCATGGCGTCAGCCTTGCTCACAGCAACCTCAGACTCCTGGGCTCGAGCGATCCTCCTGCCTCAGCCTCCCGAGTAGGTGGGACGACAGGCATGCGCCACCACGCCCGGCTCATCTTTTCACTATATGTTTTTAGTTGGCCGATTCATTTCTTTCTATTTATAGTAGAGACGGGGTCTCGCTCTTGCTCAGGCTGGTCTCGAACTCCTGACCTCGAGTGATCCTCCAGCCTCGGCCTGCCCAGAGTGCGTAGGCATGGACAGGCGTGAGCCGCCGGCCCCGGTCCTGTCCTTTGGTTTTAAATGAGATGATGCTGCACGCTTTCATACTAAAAGAGCAGGGGGAAACAAATCAGTTGGGAAGAACGTTTCCACGCCACAGCTCGCCCGCCGGCTATAGGCTCTTCCTGTTTAGGGTCCTGGGATTGCTGAACATGCTGAGTACACCGCACACACGTGCACACACATCACCACTGCACAACACCGCACGTGCACACGCCTGCACACACACGCACACACATGTGCACACCACACATGTGACACACGCCGCACACACATACCGTACACACGTGCACACATGCACACACGTGCACACACATCACACTGCACACCACGCACACACACATGTGCACACATGTCGCACACACATACGCTGTACACACATGTGCACACACATCACACCTGCACGCACGCCTGCACACACATGTGCCCACACGGGTGCACCATACATGTACACACATGTGCACACACATGCACACACGTGCTCACACCCACCTGGCCTGTGCACGCTGAGTCGGCAGACGGGCCGGCAGGCCGAGCAGGCCCCTGTCCAGCAGCGAGCGCGGGTCTGCCGGGTCTCACCGCAAGAGGCCGACGGCAGCGGCGGGCGTCCGGCGGGCCGCCGAAGACGCGGCGGCGGCGGGACGGACCAGCGCCGGCTGGCTCGCGGCGCCCAGGGCCGTGGGCGGGGAGGCGCTGCGTCCCGAGACAGCGGCCGGGCGGCACGAAGGGCGCCGAGGGTTTGCCCGGGCAGTTGTGCGGTGAGCAGAGGCGGAGGTCGCCCAGGCAGGCGACGGGGCCCCCCCAGGACGGGCGCCTGAGCTGGGACCTGGAGGAGCAGCAGGACCAGCGGACCCCACGTTTGCACGCAAACCCCACGTGCAAAGGCCCTGCGGTGGGGACAATTCGGGTCCTCTGAAAACGGCGCCGAGGAGGCCTCAGAATTGAACTGCACGCCAGGGGCTCTCGAAAGCCGGCAGACTTGGCCGGGTGCGGTGGCTCACGCCTGTCATCCCAGCACTCTGGGAGGCCAAGGCGGGTGGATTGCTCAAGGTCAGGAGTTCGAAACCAGCCTGAGCGAGACC